TCTGTGTCAAATAAATAAATAAAATTTTAGAAGAACGAAAGAGAAAGAAAGAAAGAAAAAGAAAAGAAAGAAAGAAAGGAAGAAAGAAAGAAAGAAAAAGAAAGAAAGAAAAAGAAATGTAGAATCTCAGGCTCTGCTCGTGGCCTGCTGGATCACAACCTATGTTTAACAAGAACCAAGAGCCCCAGGAGATTCCTATGCACATCAGCGTGGAAGAAGCTCTGATATTATTATATGCAACTTGAGATTTGGCAGGGGGTCGTGGGGGGAGTGGTTTAACAACATCATTCCACAATTTACTTAGAAAAAATTTTTTTACACAATAGGGAATTGGCAAGAAATTTTTTTGTAAAGCATGATAATGTTGGGGGCTTGTGCTATCAGGCATTAAAATATATTCCCAAACTGTAATAATCATGCTTTGTGGTAGCATCAGGGGAAGAGATGGGTAGATTCCTGGAGCAGAATAGGTCTGGAACTGGATCTGTATGAGCATAAGAGTTTATTGGGTGATAACGGTGCAGCTCAAATTAGAGGCAAGTCAGAGACCTCCAGGTGATGCTACAGCCTCAGACTTCATTTCAGATGCAAAGAGACAGGGCCTCCCTTCTCCCTCTGAGCATAGTCCACTGGGGGGCTTTGCCAGCAAGGGATTGGTTAAAAGCAATTAACATGCGTCTTGCCCTGAACAGTGTCCCCAGAGAGTTACCAGCCATTGTCTTGTCTGGTCTTCAAGGAGTCAGCGCAAAGTTATATACATTCTAAAAAATGTTCCATTCCCTCCCCATGATAAAGTCATCCAAACCAATTACAGCAAATTAGAAAAAAGGAAAGAAAGTGAAAATCCCCCACGAGCCCACTACACACATATATTTATTTTTTCCAAAACCAGGATCATAATTGTGTATGCAATTTTGTAGCCTGCTGAGTTCACTTCACATCATACCGTGGGTGTTTACATAACCTTTGAAGGCATAATTTCTGATGGCTGTGTGCTATTCCTTAAGAGGCAGACACCATGATTTACTTAGCTGTTCCCCTAAGGTTGATTACTTTCCAGGCAGCTATTATAAATAATGTTTCCATGAATGACCTGCTGGCTTTAAAAATTCTCCTTTCTGATTATTTTCTTGGGCACGTTTCCTACAAGAGGGGTTACCAGGTCAAAGGGCAGAACACGTTCGAGAACTTTTTTTTTTTTTTTTTAAGATTTTATTTATTTGAGGGGCACCTGGGTGGCTCAGATGGTTAAGCGTCTGCCTTCGGCTCAGGTCATGATCCCAGGGTCCTGGGATGGAGCCCCGCATTGGGCTCCCTGCTCAGCGGGAAGCCTGCTTCTCCCCCTCCCTCTGTTTCTCCCCCTGCTCATATTCTCTCTCTCTCTCCCTGTATCTCTGCGTCTCCAATGAATAAACCTTTAAAAAAAAAGATTTTATTTATTTGAAAGAGAGAGAGCACCAGATGGGGGAGGGTCAGAGGGAGAAGCAGACTCCCTGCTGAGCAGGGAGCCCGATGCGGGACTCGATCCTGCGACTCCAGGATCACGACCTGAGCCGAAGGCAGGCGCTTAACCAACTGAGCTACCCAGGCGCCCCCACGCTCAATCTTGATAAGAGAATTTGCAGATTGCTTTTCAGAAAGATGAATCAACACAGAATCACCAGCATGAGCCTTATTTTTAGTTTTCTTGTTTGTTTGTTTTTACTTTAGCAATTTGCTAAGCTCACTCTGCCAAGTGCTAGCTCTAAGCATTACGTAATATTATCCTCACTCACACCCTGGGAGGGAACACCCATTTTATAGACGAAGAACCTGCTCGGAGAGGACTCCCCTGGGGGCTGGACTCGCCTAGCCAGAAGGTTGCGGAGCCCGGATTCAACTTCTCCAACTTCTGCTAGCACCCAGACCAGGGTGTCAGCGTGCTTGGACCTGGTTGGAAGGAAGCCTAAGCGATCTTGACTCGGCCCCTTCTCTCCCTCCCCATTGGCTCCGTCTTGGTTCTCACCAAGTGAGTTTTCTAATCCGGGCGCATGTGATGCTGTCACACCCTTCCTTAGCGCTCCCCGCCCTTCAGGATAAATTATGCCCAAGGCCAGGCCTTCAAAACTCCCACGGTCCAGGCTGCCCTTCCACCCAAGGGCGCGACGTCCTACTGACTCCGGCCCCTGCCTCGTGCTGTGGCCACGCTGAGCCACTTCCGCGCCTCTAAATCCAGGCGGAATTAGGCACCGGTGCGGCCGCGCCCGGGGCTGCAGTGGAGCGGGTCCAGAGCTTTAGGGCAGCGCTTGTCACACGACTGCAGGGATTGGTTGACTCCCTCGGGCCTCCGCGGCCGAGGGCGCTGGGCCGGCCTCCAATCTGCACGCCCCTAGCGCCACCGTGCGCCGTGCCCCGCGCACAATCGGCGCTTCCTGCAAAAGAAGCCGATTGCCCCGGGTTGTTACCTTTAGGGACCGCTTTTGGTAACAGAAAAAGGAAAAGGGATCGCTATTTGAGTAACCACGGGTTGTTTGGCTCAGTGACTCCATGTGGGGACCAAGGAGAGGGGCGCCGGGATGAGGGACCGAGTCGTCATTAAAGTGTCCTCGGGGCAGGACAATTTCAAGCTCAGGATGAGCGCCGTTTTTCATAATTGAACTCAGCCCTCCTCACCCCGTCCCGAGTCAAATCGAAGAAACACCTTGAGACGGACCGTCTGTTCGCTGTGCCTGTCACCCTCTCGCCGGGTCTGTGTCCCCGAATGTGCCGCGGCCGGCTGCACGGCCCCTCCCACCCCAGCCCCGCGCGGGGCCCCTGGATCGCGGGACAGTGGCGGCCGCGGGGAGGTCGGTTGGGGACGGTCCTTCTCGAAGTCGCCCGCGATGTCCCCGCCAGACGACAGACCCCTCCGGGAGACAGACGGACCTCGGGCTCGGAGCCACCGGTTCCCGGGCAGGAGGACGCGGGGCGGAAGGCCTGCGCCGCCTCGGGCCCCCTCGCAGCCCCCAGCCGCGCCGGCCGCAGCCGAGGCGCCGGGTAAGCGGGCTCCGTCCCCGCAGCGAGACCTGAGCGCCGGACAGGACCTCGCGGCGCGGCTAGCGGCACTGGGTCCTCCGGTCCTCCAGAGGGCGCTGCGGCGGCCAGGCCCGCAGACCAGCCTTTCAAGCGGCCAGGCCCGGGCGGAGCCGCGAGTTCCAGCGGCCCAGTCCGCTCTGCCAGTGGGGGCGGGGCGATTGGGCGGGGGTTGGGGGAAGCGAAGTGCGCGGGCCGAGCGCGCCTGGTGGACGCACACAAGGCTTAGGGGCCACTTGGATGGAGGCTGCGGGCGTCGCGGGCAGGTGGGGTGGCCGGATTTGATGTGTAATGCTGGCTGGATCTGCAGAGGAAGGGCTTAGCGGAGTGGGGGAGGGAAGCCTTCCTCCCACTTTGTTCAGAGGCCAAAGCGAAAGGTTGGGGGTGCTGTTATTGACAAAAGGGGCACGAGGGAGGGGTGGGGGTGTGGAGAGGGGCTGGCATCGGGGCGTGACGACGCGAGAAAGGCTGGGGGCGGGGAAGCTGCATTTGCGTCGGACGCCCCTGGAAGGACCGAGCCATGGGAGTGGGGGAGATGGCGGGCGGGGTTGGGCGTTTGAGGGGGGGGGACTGTTGGCAGGATTTGCGGGAAAGTGGCGGGAGGGGGGTTTATTGAAAGCATGGGGGTGCGAATGCGGCATGCTCTTGGCAGGACTGGAGTGTGGCCGTGAAGCTCAGCGGGCGGGTGTTTGAGGGCCACGGGCAGGAGTGGATAGGCGCGGACGCAGGGGTCCTGCCTTACTCCGTGCCCTTCCTTCAGCCACCATGTTCAACCACCAGCAGCAGCAGCAGCTCCAGCAGCTCCAGCAGCAGCAACTCCTGCAGCTGCTCCAGCAGTCCCCGCCGCAAGCCCCACTGCCCATGGCCGTCAGCCGGTGAGTTCCCCTCTGGAGGGGTGGGCGGCTTCAGTCCTGCCGCTCAGACCCCTGTCGTGGAGACCCCATCCCAGCCCTTTCTCCCAGGGACCTCCCTGTTTCAGTCCTGGAAGCCATTAGTTCCTACCTTACGAGGTTCTTCTGTCTGCGGTAGAGAGGGGCAGAGAGTGGAGGTGAGGGAAGAGGGAGGGTCTGACTCTCCCAAAGTCCTCTGACACCCCCTCCCAACACACAGGGGGCTTCCCCAGCAGCAGCCACAGCAGCAGCTTCTGAATCTCCAAGGTGCCAACTCCGCCTCCCTCCTCACCGGCTCTGTGCTACAGAGAGCTTTGCTTTTGCAGCAGTTGCAAGGTAGGACTGGCCCCTTCTCACTGCAACTCAGGGGTGGTGCCCTGGCATCCCCATTTGCACTCAATCTCACCAAATCCACACGCTAACTCTGAGAGGGAGCTACTCTCGGCGCCCTAGTTTGCAGATGCGGACTCTGGGGCTCCAGGAGGTGGAAGTCCCAAAGTTGCTCAGCTGGACGCGGCTCTGTCTGATCGCAGAGGTGTGCCCTTGGCCATGGTGCTGGCTCTGTGGGCAGTACTCAGCACAGCTCACTCCCATTCAGATTAGATGAGATGATGGAGGAAAAGATCTCTTTGGACCACTCTCTTCCACATCCCATTTGACAGATGAGGAAGCTGAGGTCCAGAGCTCGGGGAAGTCATTTGCCCTGGGTCATGCAGCTAGATGAAGCCTGAGCCTTCTGACCCCGTGGCTCTCTGTGTGGGTGCCTCTAGCCATATGTAGTAAGCCTGTGTCCTCGCCTCAGTGTCCCCATGTGGAGAGCAGTCTCTCAGCTCTTCCTCCTAAGATGCAGCTCTGGGATATCAAGCCCTTCCAGTATTAATTTAGGAGCCCAGTGACCTAGGGCCAGCTCATGTTCAGACCCAGCCCCTCCCGCACGGTAGGTGTGGCTTGCTGTGTGGTCCTTCTGGGCGGTGCACTGTGCTGAGACCTTTACAAACACAGTTCCTCGACTCTGCTGACAACTCTGGGGGTGGGGGGTGAGATACACTCATGCTCCCATTTTACAAATGAAAAAACTGAGGCCTAGAGAAGAATCATGTGCCCAGGGTCACACAGGGAGTAGGTGTGGATTAGAGGGAGAGTTAGAGCCCAGGTCTTGCTACAGAACTGTGTTCGTAGATACTAGGCTGTCTTGCCATCCAGCAGGTTATGCTGCCAGGTCAGAAGATGTGATGCCTATCACTCTCAGCCCTGCCACATAGGCATGGAAGGTCCTGGAATTGATTTACAAATGACCGTTGGCGGTCGATCGATGGCAGGTGGAGAGAGAAAAGCACACACGATGTATACATATGTATTTCCCCCTTTTTCTTTCCTATTTTAAAGGTCACACTCATCAAAGAAAAGTGAAAAAAATTATTTTTAGAGGATAAGGAAACCCAAATTGTCATAGACTCACTCACCTTCTGAAGGAAAACAAAAACAAAAGCAAAAAACACCTGTCACGGTTTTGGTGTATTTCCTCCCATTTTTTCCTAGGCCCAAACTTGGGAATTTGTATATGATTGTGGTTGGTTATTGACATGGAACTGAAAGGCTGTCTTTTACTTCTTTTTCACGGAATAGAATAGCATGAGCATTTACCAGATGATTTGACAGTGTCTGTGAAGATTATTTTTTAACAGCTGTTTATATTCCACTGGCGGGCAAGCCCTCACGTACCTAAACTCAGCTGCTTCCTTTTTCTCCCCACTCCGCTTTGTTTTTTCTTTTTTTTTTTCTCTGTTTTAAATAACATGGGCATGAATATCATGTTTGAGACGATTTTCTTAGAACATATTCCGAAAAGTAGAAAAGCTGCGTCGGGGGATGGATGTTTTATGGCTCTTGATAAGTATTGCCAACTTGCTTTCCCAAAGGACTGGACCAGTTTGCAATGCCACCAGCCACGTATGACAGTACCGGTCTCACCATGCCCACGGCAACACTGGGTATTATATGCTTTTTATATATATATATATATGTATATACACATGATTTACTAACTTGGTTGGCAAAAAGCTACATCGTTAATGTTTTAGTTTACATTTATTGGAGTGCTAGTTCAGTCGAACGTTTTTTATTTGTCTGTTAAACATTCATATTTCTTTTTGTGACTTGTCCATGTCCTTTGTCCATTTTTCTTTTAGAGCTTTGAGATCTCTTGATCTTACTATTTTTAATAGCCAGTTGGCATTCTCTCTGCACATATGTGTACATGTATTTGTTTTAAGTTAACATTAGTTGAACACTTACTGGATCCCAGGCACACTTGTATATCTCATTGAGTCCTCATAAAACAGTGAGTCAAGTGCTATTATTATGCCATTGTACAGATGAGGGAACTGGGGCTAAGAAGGGGGAATTGATTTGCTCAGGGTCACAGAGTTTGGGCTATAGGGCTTGAACTAGATATGAGAACACATTTGACCCATGTCCTCAATCCCTATGGTTCCCGTCCCAGCTTTGGAGCAAAGATTTGGATTGTCTCTTATGGTTCAAACACTTCCTGAGCACTAGGCCTCTGAGTTAGATGAGGCGCCTGCCCTTATAGGAGTTCCCAGGGTGGTTGGGTTGTGGGCAGTGGGAAGCAGACAAGGAAATTGTGTAGTTGGTCCTAGAACAGGGAAGCTAGTGCCTCTGGGGACACAGAGCGGTTCTGAGAAGGCCTCTCAGAAGATAAACACCTAAAGGGAGAAATGAAGGATGACCAGGAAGTAGTGGGGGCAGAATAGCCCAGGCAGAAGGAACAGCATATGCAAAGGCCTAGAGGTGGGAAGAAACCAGGCTTGTTGAGGGATGCACAGAAGCATGGCTGGAGTATAGTGGGTGCATGTGTGGGGAGAATGGCAAGAAAGGAGGTCTGGGAGGAGGGCAGGGCCGGACCCCCGCAAGGTGAGGAATGAGCTCCTTTCCAAGCAGCAGGGAGCTATGGAAGGATTTAGGCAGGTGGAGAGGAGTGAAGGCAGAATAAGCAGAGACCCTGGGCAAGCTACACCTCCACTTTGTGTCTATTTTGTCATTGGTAGAGATCACAGTACCTACCCTGATGGTGGCTGAGCCGAGTGACGGGGAGGCCATGCACACAAAGTGCTTAGCAAGTGCCTGGTTCCCAGTAGACCTTTGATGGGGTGGGGGGGATAGGGCAGTGTCTTTTTTTTTTTTTTTTTTAAGATTTTATTTATTCATCTGAGACACAGATACAGAGAGAGAGAGAGAGAGCATGAGCAGGGAGAGAGGCAGAGGGAGAGGGAGAAGCAGGCTCCTCGCTGAGCCAGGAGCTCGATGTAGGGTTCGATCCCAGGACCCTGGGATCATGACCTGAGCCAAAGGCAGACGCTTAACCATCTGAGCCACCCAGGCGCCCCAGGGCAGTGTCTTAATATTCCAGGGACCAGTCAGTCAACTTGCTGGTTCTTCCTATGGGTACTGTGCTGGGTCTTTCACACACCTTAAGGTATGCCCCAAAGCGTGCCAGAGGGTGAGTGGGGTTGCACAAGCTGCTGATCAGGGTGTCCCTCTCCTCCCCAGCAGAAAACCAGCCCTAAAGCCCCCTCACTACCAATGCCCAAGGTGGGAGTGGGCCTTTGGCTCTCATCTCTCTCCTCTGGCTGCTGTGTGGGAAGCTTCCCTGTCAAAGTCATCTGTGTTGTTTCCGCAATGCTCTGGGGGGCTGAACGCCTGACTCTGGCCTCTACCATCCAACCACATTGTAACCTCTCTTCTCCCTTCTTCCTGCCCGCAGGGAACCTCCGTGGCTACAACCTGGCAGCCCCGAACCTGACGGCCCCCAGCCTCACACCCCCCCAGCTGGCCACCCCAAATCTACAGCAGTTCTTCCCCCAGGCCACTCGGCAGTCCTTGCTGGGTCCCCCTCCTGTCGGGGTCCCCATGAACCCCTCCCAGATCAACCTTTCAGGGCGGACTCCCCAGAAACAGGCCCGCACCCCCTCCTCCACCACCCCCCAGCGCAAGGTGAGTGGTGGCTAGGGGGGCTGTGGGTGGGGATGGGAGGCGGAAGGTCATACCTGGGTATCAGCCCAGCTCCACCCACGTGGCTCACTCCAGGCCTTCGGGCAGGTCACGTCCCTTTTTGTCCTCAATTTCCCCATCTGTAAAAAGAGGGGGGTAAGTTGGCCTTGTCTAGGGTTTCCCAAATTTCAGATATTCATGAACGTCCGATGCAACTTTTTCCGCATCCAAACACTACCAGTAATCTTACTGACCGAATGTTTCTCTTTGCAAACACATGGAGATACAAATGACACCGAGCATTGTAGTAGTTTGAGGTGTCCTGCAGGCAGGCTCTTGGGGCTAACTGGAATGCCCAGGACCAGCCGGAGCCGTGCATTTATTTAGCAAACATCTGTGAGTCTTGTAGGGGCCTCTGTGGTGTAGATGGTACATCTGCCTGACCCTCCTGGAGGTCTTAGGCTGGGGAGGAGGGTGGTAGCAGTGGTGAGACATTCATGCAAATAATGTTCCCACCAATTAATTAAGACTGTGGAAAATGCCACAGAAAGGAAGCCCAAGCTCCTCTGGGAACCCATATTAAGGGTCTACTCTGGGGTCAGGAGGGCTTCCTGGAAGAAGTGCCTTTGAGGCTCTGGGTGAAGGCCTGGTGCAGGACAAGGCCTAGGACTTTGGGGAACCAGAGAGAAGGCCAGTGTGGACATAGAGAGGGGGAGAGGGGGGAAGCGGGCTGGAGATGGGGGCATGGGGGCAGAGGTCAGATGGGGTGGTGGTTTTGGGCTTGGGTAAGGAAGGAGTACTCTAGAGTCAGAGGAATACAGGAGGATTTCTGACTGAAAGAGGCAAAAGACATGGTCAGGTTTGCATTTTAGGAGGATCCTTCCGGCTGCTTCATGGAGAAGGTGCTTGGGGAGTCAGGAGGGCCCCTCTGTATCCCCCAAATCTGGGTTAACAGCCAGGCAGCTAGATGGACCCTCCTAGACACGATTCCTGGGGTGCTTAGGATCATCTGTGGGAAGTTCTGGGCCAGGCCTCACCAGAGGTCCCCGGATCCCTGGGTGCCTTCATCCCCTAGGGGACTGTCACAGCTGCTCTTGGGCCAGGGTGTACTTACACGGGTGGGCGGCAGATGTCAGAACCAGTTTCTGAAAGGAAGCAGGATTCTTCTTCTCAGACGATACCTGTGGAAGACAAGTCAGACCCCCCAGAGGGGTCTGAGGAAGCTGTTGAGTCCCGAACAAACACACCAGAAGGTAAGAGAGGGAGGCTGCTGGCCCTTTGGAAGGGGCCACGGGTTGGGGCAGGTGGGTGCAGGGTCAGTGATGGAGGCAGACCTGGGGGGCAGGGCTCTTGGTGCAGGGGGAGCCCAGACCCTGTGTCTCGGAGCTAGCTTGTGCTCTATATGGCATCGGCTTGGCAGTCACTCATCTGCCCTCTGTTCCAGACCAAGATTCCCCGCCCTGCCCGGATGACATCACTAAGGAGAAACGCACTCTAGCCCCTTTGCCTGAGTCTTGTGAGGCATCTGAGCCACCAGCTAAGAGGTCAAAGAGGTAACGGATGCTGAAAACCCGCTGGGGCCCAGGGGCCCCATACCCTCATTCTTGCGAAGGCTGGGGGTGGGTGTAGGTGGGGGGGTCAGGACCCTTCAGGGAGCTGCAAGAAGGAAAGGGCCTTGGCGTCGGGCTTGCAGGAAGGTCAAACCCAAATCTGCATCTTACTTGGGAGGGCGCCCAGTCAGAGAGTCTCCGGTGTCTTCCCTGGGACTGAGCCACCCAGAGGCAGGCTGGGTGGCCAGGTTGGAGAGGTGAACATGTGTATCTGGGACCTCAGAGTGGGCAGAGGGTGGGCGACTTTACAGGGCCTTGGATACATATTAGCAGATTGTGGGAGGTGGGGCTCAGTAATCCTCCCAATTTATTTCGGCGCGGCTGGGGCCCGCAGAGCGGCAGGCCCTTCCGCAAATGCCCAGCTTGTACGTGCTAGAACTAGGACTGAATGTGGATCTTGGTCTTTTTGAGGAGCCCCTGGGGTCAACTGGGAGACACAGGAAGCTATCTCTTGATCCTCCCTAGCTCAGAGTTGCCCACAGAGAAGGGGTCCCCCGGGCAGCTGCAGGCGAAGGTCCAGCCTCGGGCCCGCACCACGGCCCCGAAGCAGACACAGACACCCGAGCTGCTGCCTGAGCCGCCGGAAGCCCGAGTGCTGCCACCGTTGCAGCCCCGGGTTCTGCAGATCCAGGCCCCGGTGCAGGCGCAGGCGCAGCCACTGACGCCCCCCGCGGACGCCCCGGTGCAGCGCAGGCTGCAGAAGCAGGCGCAGACACAGACCTCCCCAGACTATGTGGGGCCGCAGCCGCTGCGGAAGGAGGCGGAGCTGCAGAGACAGGTGCCGCCGAAGGCACGTCCGCAGCCCCCGCGGCCGCCACAGCCGCAGAAGCAGGCACAGACGCAGACGTGTCCTCAGGCCCAGCCCCCGGAGCAGCCCCCGAGGCAACCTCCAGGGCCGTCGCCAGGCCAGCCGCCTGACCAGACTGAGGGACAGCCTCAGCCCCCGCCACGGGTGTTGGTGCCGGCCCTAGAGCCAGCGTCAGTTCCGGATCATTCCGCGGTGCTCGAGACGCCGCCTGATAAGGGAGATAGTGGAGCCGGTAAGTGAGCACTGGTTCCCAGTTGCCCCATGATGGGACAGCCCTGCCCGGGCCCTTGGCTCCTCCCCTGGCGCCATGCGGTCCTGACCAGGGCTCGGGGTTGTCCCCACCAGAGGCTTCAGGGTCCTGGCTGTGGATAGAGAAGGGGGCTGTCAGGCCCAGGTCCCTTGGGGCCTGGTGGGAGATGGACCCATCTATTGTTTCAGGCCTGGAGGAGGCCTCTCCAGAGCCAGGTGGCGCCCAGGTCAGCGTGGAGAGCCAGGAGGACTTGACCAGTGGCCTGGATGTGGGAGAATGTGAAAAACGAGCAAGGGAGATGCTAGGGGTGGGTCGACGTGCTACTGGGGCTGCTCGGGTACCGCGGGGCCCAGCGGCGGGAGGGCCTTCGCGTCCCCACCCCTCGGGGCCCCTCACGTTTCCCCACCACCCCCGGCCCGTGGGCGGAGCAGACTGGACTTGACTGTTTCACATGCCTTTGCTCTGAAGAACTGGAGGTACTTTTGGCGACAAGTCCCTTCCAGCCTGCCCATCCCCAAACTAGAGCCCTTGGTCCCCTCACAGGGGGAACTTTGCTCTAGCGGGGAGAGCACAGAGCGAAAGCCTCTGCATGCGGTTCGGGTTCCCGCTCCGCCTCATAGGGGGACTGCGGCCAAAACCGCTCCGTCCTTGTGTCTCCGTTTCTCCATCTCTCACGGGAGGGTGGGGCGGGGTGGACTTCACAGTTGGGTGGGCTTAGGTTTGAGTCCCGGCTGTCGTCCGCCCCAGCTCTGTGAGCCTGGGCAGTCACCTACCAGCTCAGCACCTCAGTTTCCCCATCTGTGAAGGGGGCTGTCAGGAGGGTCCGGGGAGACGCCACTCACGGGCGTTTGGCCCAGGGGTGGGCCCACCATAGGTGCCCTGCCGGTGGTAGCTCTGCCCCTGCTCCCGGTGCAGGTGTGGGGCGCTGGGGGCTCCCTGAAGGTCACCATCCTGCAGAGCAGTGACAGCCGGGCCTTCAGCACCGTCCCCGTCACCCCCATGCCCCGCGCTGGCGACTCTGCATCTGCCGCCCCGGCCGCCGCCAGCACACCCTCTAAGCAGACCCTCCAGTTCTTCTGCTACCTTTGTAAGGCCAACTGTAGCAGCCAGCAGGTACTGTGGGCCCGGGACAGGGGTTCCGCTGGGCAGAGTGGGGGTGTCTATAGGGCGTGCCCAGGCCTGGCCACCGTGCCCGAGTGGCCCCATGGGCCCCGTGAGCGCCGTCCATGCCGTCCACGGCAGCTGTGCATCTGCTCTGGAAACATTTCCTGACCAGCCAAGAAGTTAGTATCTGCGAGTGCAGCAGGCCAGGTCTGAATCAGCCCTGACTAGCTGCATAGATGCCAGAAGGCGAACTCCCCTCCTTATGCCTCTGTTTCTTCGTGCTTCAGATGAAGAAGCATTTAGAACCCACCTTGCTGGGCGCCTGGGTGGCTCAGTTGGTTAAGCAACTGCCTTCGGCTCAGGTCATGATCCTGGAGTCCTGGAATCGAGTCCCACATCGGGCTCCCTGCTCAGCAGGGGGGGTCTGCTTCTCCCTCTGACCCTCTTCCCTCTCATGCTCTCTCTCTCTCATTCTCTCTCTCTCAAATAAATAAAATCTTAAAAAAAAAAAAAAGGAACCCACCTTGCTGGGAGGCTCCGAGGATTCAGTGACTTGACATTGAAATCACGAGCCCCCGGCCCAGCCCAGAGCGAGTGTAGTGCCTTAACAACGGCATTCTGCTCGTATTGTTATGACCATTTGCCGTTGCAGCCTGTGTCATCCTGAGCAGAGCAGTGGGGTCTGGAGGTCAGTCGGACTGCTCCTTGTCTCTGAGGGGCTCACACGGTGTCCAGGAGAAACAGCAGGAGCTCTGGCTGCTGTGTGCTCACTCGGGGCCTCAGGTCGCCATCCTCCTCTGGCCCCCACAGGGCTGTTGTGAGACAAATGGCCTCGGCGGCGGCGACACGGTGCCGTGAAGCTGAGGCCACAGGCTGCCTCCCCAGGCCCCACCCTCGCTCGTCGCTCCAGGGCTCACTCTTCATCCCACTGCAGGAGTTCCAGAACCACATGTCAGGGGCCCAGCACCAGCAGCGGCTCGGGGAGATCCAGCACATGAGCCAGGCCTGCCTCCTGTCCCTGCTGCCCGTGCCCCGGGATGTGCTAGAGAGAGAGGACGAGTGAGTGGGGGGTCTCGGAGGCTCCGTGCTGGGGGGTAGATGGTCTTGCAGGCCAGGCAAGGCCGAGAGGGGCCCTGAGTCCACCATCTGCAAGGTCTGCCTTTGGGTTACGTATTGGTCGCCGCCAGAGGCCTCGTCACACTGTTAACTGTGGACCTGTGGACCTCAGTTTTCCTCATCTGTGAGATGGCCTGGTAAAGGGTGCAGTGCAAGAGTTCATGAACTAGATAGTCTCTTAAGGTGCCATCCAGGCACTTCCCACAGGGGAAGGAAGTGGGTGGTGGTACAGACGCCTGCTTCCCTGGCATATGTGCTGACCCCACCTGGGGATCAGTCATCTTGTGGCTTGAAGTTGCAGCTACCCTGCCTGTCCCCCTTTCATTGTCATGGGCGCGTCATTGATCCAAAATGTGAGCCCTCCTGGAGTCCAGGACTAGCTCTTGGGCTGAGGAGGCCTGGTGGACGCTGGAAGACCTTTCACCGTCCTGTGGGCAGTCACAGAGGCCTACGGGGAGGGGAGAGGCAGGTCAGCACTGCCTCGGGCCAGGCTGGGGGACCTGGGCTCTGTCTCACAGGACAGCTGCTCCTCAACTCCAGGTCTCCTGGTTGTTCTGGAGCATCGAGAAACCCAGCTTTGTATGTGAAATCTCCCAATTTCAGAATGTTAGCAGCTAGTTCAGAATCAAAATGAAAGAAGCCTAGGGAGCCCGAATCCAACCCCATCACAGGCTGGGCAGTGGCTGGGGACTCTGCCAGGAGCCCTCACAGAGGGTCACAGCTCGGAGCTTGCTGCTTGCATGCCCTGAGTGACGGAGTGCTCTCTCCAGAGGCAGCGGCGCCTCTGTTAGGTGGTTCTCACTTTGAGAAGAACTTCCTGACGTGGTCGTGTAGCATGTTCTCGAGCCTTAAACCTCCCCTGCTCAAGGACCCAGGGATTATACTTAGGTGAAGTAATCATAAATACAGAGGAAAGGTGACACCCAAAGATGTTCCTTGCAGAGGACTGTCGTGGTGAAAAAGTTTAATTGGAAACTGTTGAAAATCTCCACTCCTGTGGGATGAGTTAGCTCAGGCTCATCCACGCGGTGGAATAGCTCATAAAGGACAATACCAGGGAGTTCCTGAGACCGTGGAAACAGGTATGATGCAACGTCGGGTTAGAACACGGTTCACGTCTGCATTTGCAGAATGAGCTTAGTTATATAAAAACCTATCTTGTGGACACAAGAAAACCAGAAAGGTGTAGCCCGTCCTACGAGCAGCCTTTAGGTGCAGGAGATTCACTGAACCGTCTGCCCTTGAAGCCTCACCAGGGCCCCTGAGGCCACACACAGCATGGCAGTCCTTCCGATAGGCTGCCTGTCCTTCCTTCATCCAAGGCAGTCAGAAACTAGGGGCCGATCCCGTGCCTGGCCCTGGGACTCTGGGAGTCCTGGCCTCCCAGAGCTCACCACAGTTCAGCGGGGGCACAGAAGGGATCAGGTCCTCCCTGTCCGTTGTAGAAAATGCTGTGGCGGTGGCCCTTTGGGGTGCCAGGGGCGAGTCTGGCTTACAGGTAGGGGGCAGGTCCAGGAGTAGGGGGCGGGGCAAGAACAGCTCCAGGAACTACAGGGCATCTAAACTGAAGGATAAAGAGTTTTCGGGGCCAGATATGCTCAGGTGTGTCACTGTCCTGCTGGCCTCCTGGGATCCCACATACTTCTAAATCTCCCCATCCCCCACCAAGCTTCCTTGGTTATTATTCTTGTCTAAGTATTTTTCCAGATGCATCTCAGAACTGTTGTTAAGTTTCTAAAAACACATCGTGTTGGAGTTGCATTACATTTATGGGGCGTCTTGGGAGAGCGGCTGTCTTTCCAACAAGGGCAGTGTCACACTCCTTGTTCTAATTGTCACCATTCAGAGAGCCCCCGCCGAGGCGCTGGTGTAACACCTGCCAGGTCTACTACATGGGTGACCTGATCCAACACCGCAGGACGCAGGACCACAAGGTATGAGCCGCAAGGGCGCCCACACGTGCTGTCTCCCTGCCACGGGGCTTGTGGGGGTCCTCCTGGCAGCTCCTCCCCCCCCCCCCCGTCTCTGTCCTCCGTTGCCACCTGCCGTCCCGTCTCGAAGCCCACGGCGCAGGGAGGGGCTGTGTGTGCCCATGTTCTGGGAGGGGTGAAGCACGGCCGGCTGATGACAGACGTGGAGGCCTGCAGGTGGGAGAGGAGGTGTCACTGGGCACAGCCTGGCTGCCCCTGGGGACACCGCCCGCCACCCGCTTGGCCTGCCCTCCTTTCATCAGATCGCCAAGCAGTCCCTGCGGCCTTTCTGCACTGTTTGCAACCGCTATTTCAAGACGCCCCGCAAGTTTGTGGAGCACGTGAAGTCCCAGGGGCACAAGGACAAAGCCAAGGAGGTAACGCCCAGCTCCCTCGGGGGACATGGGCCCAGAGAGGCACAGAGCCGTGGCCGAGACCACACAGCGGGCTGAGGTGTATCCCAGCCTGCGCTCGGCGGGTCTGGAGGGATTGGGACTCTTCGGGGGTGGGGGTGGGGTGGCACCTCGTGTGCCCAGAGCTGACCGGAGCCCTGGCCTGTTCCCCTGGGCAGCTGAAGTTGCTCGAGAAGGAGCTAGCCGGTCAAGATGAGGACCACTTCATCACAGTGGACGCTGTGGGCTGCTTTGAGGGTGATGAGGAGGAGGAAGAGGAAGAGGAAGATGAAGAAGAGATCGAGGTGGAGGAGGAATTCTGCAAGCAGGTGCTTGGGGGCGGAGGGGGCGTGGGAGGCAGGCTGGAGGCTGGACTCTCAGCCCAGGCGGGACCTCACCCCGCCTCCCAGGGGCCAGGGGCCGTGGTGCTGACGTTTGTAGGCAGTAAGGCCTGCCGTGATTTAGTGTGAACAGGACTATATTACCTATGACTCGGTGTAAATACACATCATGAGGACGGCGGGGTGGCCGGCTGCAGGACCTCGAAGCCTGGCTGAAATCTTGACCTGTGTTTAGGGAGGGAAAGGGTGTCTTAGGCCAATAAGGGCATGGAGAGAACTATGCGGGGTACACGGAAGAGTCAGCATGAGATGAGGTTGATGACGATAACAGCCGTCAGCACTTTCTGAGCATTTATTATATGCCAGGCATGTACCCACCGCTTTCCTGGCTGAATCTCACCAACTTGGACGCCAGGAAGCGAGACTCCAGAGCCCGTGCTCCGAACGCCCCAGCTCCCTCCCACGAGCGAGGAGCTGGAGGAGCTGGAGGAGCTGGAGGAGCTGGAGGAGCTTGGGTTCTCTTCGTGTAAGAAATGAAAAGCAGCTGCTCTGAGCCAGGCCCTGGTGCTGGCCGTGGGGATATGTGGAGGGCACGGCCCCTGCCCGCCTGGAGCTTGCCCACTGCCAGTCCAGAGTGGCGAGGGGTAGCCTGAGGGGCACGTGGAGGGGCTGTGGACGGAGGGGTGCAAGGGCGATCCTCAGCCCTAAGCAGGTTTGGGGTGAGGCCACTTCGTTACATGCGATCAGCACTGGCCTGACCTCAGGCAAGCCCCTCGGCTTCTCGGAGCCCCAATTCTTCTGCTTAGAAGTAACAGTCCCAGCTGAGGCTGTGAGGGTGGGCCAAAGCCCGGGGGGGCAAAGGGGAGTGGTTGTCGCCCTTGGAAGGCACATTTGCCTGGGAAGTGAGGAGGGCACTGCTAAGTGTGGTGGGGCTGCCGTGGCTGGAGTCCGATGGCCTCGTCTGGAAGGGGCTCGCATCCAGCCGGTGAGACGAGGAGTCCGTGATCACCTGAAACCCAGCTCCCCTGGGACTGAGGTCACTGCAATATCAAGAATTCAGGGAGCTGGCACGGGGGGCTCGTGGTTAAGAGTGTAACCAGGGTTAGGGCTCACCAGGGTTAACTACTCTGCTCCTCTATAAACCCTGGGCAAGTGAGTTAATGTGCGTGGACCTCAGTTTCCTCTTATGTAAGATGGGTGAACCTAGGAAGGTTGTTACGGGATTCAGAGAGGACACTCGTGATGTGTTAGGCACACGTGGCATGGATTATGGTCACTGTGGAAGCAGGAGGGCTTCCTGGAGGAGGGGACTGATTGAGCTGAACTCAAAAAGTATAGATTGGGAAGGACAATCTGGCAGGATCAGCTTGTGCAAAGGCTCAGAAAATGCCACCCACAACCTCCTGGATATATTCCTCCTGGGAATCAAGGGGGCGGTGCTGAAGAATGTGGGTGGAAACCAGGCCCCACCAGCGTTTGCGGGGAGCTCAGGGGAAGCTTGAACCAAGGCAACACTTGCATATTTCTAGGTGAGGTCCAGAGATATATCCATAGAGGAGTGGAAAGGCTCAGAGACCTATAGCCCCAATACCGCATACGGTAAGACCCTGGCCCTGACCCCACTGCAGGAGAGGCCAGGCAGCCTCTCCCCTTGTCCTCTTCTCCTCCCACCTGGAGGGTGGGCGAGCAAATGGGCTCCTAGAGAGGGAGGGCCACCGGGTTGGCATGGGGGATAAGTGCATAGACGCTGCCGCCCCACAGGTGTGGACTTCCTGGTGCCCGTAATGGGCTACATTTGCCGCATCTGCCACAAGTTCTACCACAGCAACTCGGGGGCACAGCTCTCCCACTGCAAGTCCTTGGCCCACTTCGAGAACCTGCAGGTGAGCTGGGCCTCCCGCTCCACCCGCCCACCCTAGCTGCCGGGCATGGCCAGCAGCCACCTTTCTCCTGTGTTTGGCCTCAGCCCACGGAGGGAACCTGAGCAGGGGTGGGGCCGAGCTCTTTGTGCTGTTGTTCTGGGGGGAGCTGAGGGCCAGGCTGTTAGCTCCAGAGCTCTGGCCCGGGGAGGCTGAGTGCATCATACAGGGACGGACACACACACACACACACACACTCACACTCACTCACTCACACTCACACTCACACTCACAGCATGTCCCATGCAGTCTCAGGGAGGCTGAGTGCCTCTCACACACACACACACACACACACACACACACACACACACACTCACAGCATGTCCGATGCAGTCTCAGGGAGGCTGAGTGCATCATACAGGGACACGGACACACACACACACACACACACACACACACTCACAGCATGTCCGATGCAGTCTCAGCCAGGCTGGGGAGGCAGCTGCTGGGAGGGAGCATACCAGGTAGGCAGGAGGCCCTGCCTTACCTGTACCTTCTGTGTCTAGAAATACAAGAAGGCCAAGAACCCCAGCCCTACCAGCAGGCCCGTGAGCCGCCGGTGTGCAATCAACGCCCGGAACGCCTTGACTGCTCTGTTCACTTCTGGTGGCCGCACACCCACCCAGCCCAGCACCCAGGACACGGCTAAAACCCCCAGCAAGGTGACAGCCCAACCCCCTCCGCCCCCACTACCACGGCGCTCAACCCGCCTCAAAACCTGATAGAGGGAGCGCGCCTCAGGCCCACCCCGTCTGGGTCTCAGTCTGCTACGCTTTTTAGAAATCTCGTGTGGAAATTCTGACATGGTTGGTGTTTTTACTGAAAATCTAATAAAAGAAGGTAGTTTGGCCGTACAGTGCCCACCAGCCCTTCTGTCCGGGTGGATAGGGGAAGGGGATACCCCAGCCTGCTATCAGCCAACACCCACCCTCTTTAGGCATGGTGTGGTGGCCGAGCCAGAAGGCCACAGGCAGGCTCCCTAAGCAGGGCCTCTGGGGTCACAAGGCACTTTATCTCTCACAGCCTGTTTCCCTCTTTAATGGGGTTATCAGGGCTAGGAAAGCACCTTCACCTTCAACTCAGATCTCATTTAATCCTCACAGGGACCCTAGGGGGCAGGTCTTATTGTGGTCCCCAAATTGTAGGTGAAGAAACTGAGGCCTAGCAAGGTCAAGTGACTTGCTAGAGGTCATGCATCTGATGAGTGGCCAGGATTTGCCTCAGGCCTGGGCTCTGGACCCCTGTGCTGGCCTCTCTCCAGCTGGACTCTGGAAACTGAAGTGTAGGCATAGGGGACCTCCCTGTCGTCTGGTTCTGAGTTTGTGGTTCAATAGCAGGGGCCCACCCTTCTTGTCAGGTGACCCTAAGATGAATCATCAGCGAATGGGGCCCAGGAGGAGTTGGTTCTTTAGTTCTGCTATTTCCTCATTTGAAAAAACCCTTAGAGGTAGACCAACCCTGTGATTGGCTAGCTGGGAAGACTGAGGCCTGGAGCAAGGTTACACAGCATGAACAGGAGTTGGCTGTCGTAGGGAAAGACCCTAGGTCCCAGAGAAGCTGAGTGTATCCACAGGGTCACACAGCACGTCCCATGCTCTCAACTGGGCTGGGGAATCTGCTGCTGTCCAGGAAGGCACCAGGTAGGGAGGAAGCCCTGCCTCACCGGCTCCCTGTGTGTCCAGAAATACAAGGCCAAGAACCCCTACCCTACCAGCAGGCCCGTGAGTCACCAGCACATGATCAGTGCCTGGAATGCCTCCACTGCCCTGTTCACCTGTGAGGGCCAGTGGAGTCCTCACCCAGGATACAGAGGAGAGGCACAGTGCTGTTGGAGACCCGTTTAATATGGACGCTCAAGGCCTGGGCAGAGTGGGGAGTGCCCCAGAACTGGGCAGGCAGGCTAAGTGGGTGGGTCGTGGGCCCACACCTGACCCCAGGAGGGGATGTCGGGTGGTGGGGGCTGGCCCAGGCATGCCAAGGGGAGTACCGGAAGGGTGACTGAGGCAGGCAGACCCACCAGGGGACCTGTAGGCCAGCCCTTGAGAAGGTATCTAAGCCAGGTGGTGAGTGCCCAGGCCAGAGCCTAGCCCAGGGAGGCAGGGTTTGGGCTGGTTGGGGGCTCCCAGAACCTAGGGACTGGCATCACTAGGGGCCTCCCCAAGCTGCTGCTGGAACTCAAGGCGTGTCTGCCGGTTGGACTCAAGCAGCTCCTGGAGGCGGGCATGGAGGTAGTCGTTCTTCTCCTCTAGGTGGTCTAGACAGGAGTTGATCTGGTCCAACATGGAGTTGATGGCAGCATATTCTGGGAGGAAGGGAAAAGAGAGCCAAGGTTCCAGGTCTCCTCAGGGTTCGGACACCTTCCCCCACACAGTCCCCCAGCCTGCAGGACAAAAGGGCTTTGGGCAAGTCCCCACTCCTTGCTGACCCTTTGTGTCACCATCTGGAAAATGGGTGGATACCAAAAGTGAAAGGCTTTGGAGAAATAATACCTTAGTAGTGCACCATCCTTTTTTCTAGGGTTAAGGTCGTCAGGGGGAGGTCAGCCAGACGGTGTCCTGCCCGGTGCCAAGTCTCCTTTCCACTTCCTTTATCAGCTGCCGGGAGGCCAGAGCCCCCCTTCCTGAGTCAGGCAATCAAGGCCTCTGTCCCCAGGCAGGCCCTACTCTCCAGCCCTTTTTTTTTTTTGGCGGGGGGGTTTCCTCCTCTCCAGCCCTTCTGAGGCTCCCCCCTGCCGGAAGGGAAAAGCACCGCCCAGACTCCCAAGGCCCTGCCCCCTCTCTAGCCCCGCCTCACCCGCCTCTACCCACCTCGGGCCCCCTGAACATGCTGCTGCCTTTGCCTGCAATGCGTCCTCCTCTGTCTTCCCTCCTCCTCTCCTGGATGAATCCCTGTCATCCTTCAAGGCTCAGCATGGATGGTGCCACAGGGAGCTTCCCCAATCCTTGCCTTCCACACACCTCCACGGTCCTTACCCCACCAGACTATAGAGCTCATGAGACAGGGAATGTTTTTGTGTTCACTGCTGTCTCCCTGGTGCCCTCATTGTCACACAATAAGCACTAGTTGAATGGATGGATGGATGGATGGATGAGTGAATGAAGCCTCTGACTTTCTGGCCTTTCTGCCTTTACTCACTTGTCTCTGCCACTCAGAATGCCTCAACCACAAGAGTTATTCAAGGACCAGCTCAGAACGCCTCCTCTTCTAAGAAGCCTTCCCTGGTCTCCACCAGAAACCATCACTCCCTCCTCCATGGCCACTCCTGACCTGCCTCTCAGCAGCACAGTGTCCCTTAGGATCCAAGGTCTGGGCCTGTGCCCACTGCGGACCCAGTTCTGAGCCAGCCCATGACTCAGATACACTCAGCTGCCAGCCTGGGACAAAAGGGGAAGCGGCTGACAGTGTTTGGAAAAGGCCAGGGCCGGAGGAGTGTGTCTGGGATCTGGGTGCAAGTGTGTCTGCATTCTGGGGGAAGAGCACCATCGGCCAGAGCTGGCACAGCTCACAGAGGACAGAGTCCTGGAAAGTCCCTGCTGGATCTTAAGAGTCCACCCCCCTTGTGGTGCCGATGGGAAAACAAGCCCAAGAAGGAAGGGACCTACCCAGGATCCTCCAGCTGGTTGGTGGCACAGCCAAGATTCAGAGGGAGCAGGGGCACTTGGGGGTCAGTCCCAGCTCCGCTGCACCCCAGCACGTGACTGCGTCTTTTGGGAAGGGAATGAGGACCGGGTTGTTGTGAGGATTCCAATATATTAAAAACTCAGACAGGGTCTGGCCACAGCAAGTACTTAGTAGACGGTCCTTATTATCAACACTGCACATTCTGTGTCACAAGACACAGGCCCGAAGCAGGATGGGGGAGGCGGGTGGTATCTCCACACCACTGGGGGCCGGGCTTGATCTGTGTCAAGGGCACTTCCTAGTGCTAAGCCTCTGCCTTCTGCCTGGGACAGCCACCTCCCCACTGCACTAAGTCCTGTGAATCTGCCAACATCCACTCAGTGTGACACCTGAGTGGCTTTTCCTGATTGCTGTCCCTGCTACTGCAGGCTTTCTTATACACATCTGGCTACTGTTCACTTGCAGTGCCCAGGGCAAACTGGCCAGCCTACCACTTACCACCCTGTGGGAGGTCCTCTACCTCTTTATTAAATGCAGACCCGGGGTGATCGAAGTGTTCTGAAACTACTGTGAGGGATGCACAACTCTGAGTATCCTAAAACCCACTGACATGTACAATTTAAATGGATACATTGTATGGTATGTGAATTATAGCTCAATAAAGCTGTTACCCAAACAAAACAAAAAGCAGACTCCATACTTACCTCACATTTACTAAGTCCTGCCCTCCAACTTGAGAAATCAATCTTTATTACACTAAAGGGAAAAAAAACCACTCACCGAACACCTGCATGCTTTGAACCTATTAAATATTTTCCATTTGTTTTTTCTTCATTTAACCCTGACACATCTCAGTGCAGGAGACCCTAATCATTATTCTTATTTTAGATACGGAAACTAAGGGTCCCCAAGGTGAGAGGGGAGCTGATTGTTCTCTCTCCACCCCCCAACCCCCCGCAGTGTTGTGCAGGCAACAGGCTGCTCCGCAAGGAGGTCACATTCGCCAAGGCTCCGGGTCACACCGGCAAAGGTGGCAGGAGATGCTGACTCAGCAGGGCGGGTTCGCCCACCCAGACAGCCCCTCCTGCTAAGCCGAGACGACCCACCCGCCCCACCCCCTCAGGAGCCCCCGTCTCCACAGGGGCTGCAGGAAGTGGCTGCAGCAAATGCCAAAAGGGCGAGTGATCCCGAAGCGGCCTCAGTTTCCCCATCTGTAAAACGGGGCCGGTTGCCCGCAGCTCTCGGATGCTGCGGTTTCCAGGGACCCACTCGCAGGTGCTCGCCCTGAAACCCCGGCCGGCGCCTGCAGCCGCAACGCACCCAGAGGCGAGGGGTGGGAGGGCTCTGCGGTCCCTTCCAAGCCCCCAGCCCGGCCCCGCTTCCCCTTCCCAGGAGGGCAGCCCTAAGAAAGCAAAGGGCGCTTCAGCAGCCTCCCTGGGTCACCTGCTTCCGCGAAGCCGTCGTCCTCGCCTTCCGCCCCCGTCTCCACCGGCACGCCCAGGTCCCCGTTGGGGCCCGACATTGCGGGCTCGGGCGCCGCGAGGGCCGCGCGACGGTAGAACCCAGCTACCCTCGCGCCCACAGCCTGCGCTGCGCGGAAGGTGGAGGCGGCGGATGGAACTCGAAGCCGGAAGAGTGGGACGCCGCGGCAGAAAGCGGCAGGGCGGCCGGGGCCTCGCCCACAAGGCCGGAACCTCGCGGCGCGAGCTCCGCCCCCTCCCCGCCCCACCGCCAGAGCTCCGTCCCCGCCCGCCGTCAGACTCCGCCCCCATGGCCCGAGTCACGCCCACTCCCTGACTCACAGTCGCGCCCCGCCCCTAGCCCCGCCCCCTCTCGGCCGCTGGGCGGGGTCGTCCGCGGCTGGCAGTCCGGAAGCCCAGGTGGTGGAGGCCTGGGCGCTCAGCCGGGACTCGCGAGCCCCGCAGAGGGAAGGGGGCTGCCTGGCGCCCCCACTCCGCCCGTCCTGCCGCTGGGGACCTGCGGGTCGGCGAGCAGGCGCCTCCGCGTGGGCGAAATCTGAAACGCGTTTTCTCTAAGGCTCCCCATGGCTTCGGAAGATTTAGGTTCACAGCCTCAGTGAGAGTCACGGTCTGTGTGGCACAGTGCTGCGTGTGGCTTCGGGATTAGGTTGGCCCAGCTGCCATCATCCCCCACCCCTTTTACCAGCTGAGAAAGGGAGGCCTGCCCAAAGTCACCCGCCAAGACACTGTCGCTCCTGAGCCGGACCCAGAAGTATCATCCTGGCCAGGAGTCCGGCTGAGTTAGGCTCACTCACTGGGAGTCCCGTAGCTGTAGCTGCCAGGGAGCCCCATGGCTGCAGCAGCCCCGTGCTGGTCTCACACGGGTGCCTCCTGTGGGCAGGACATCCTTGGGATCGGGGTCCGACCTGGTATGTCCCAAACAGGCCCGCGTTCCATCGGGTGCCCCCACCTTCCGCCATGGTCGCTGCATTCTACTGTGACACGGCCCTGGGGGGCCGAGCCAGCAATGGCGAACCTGGGTATGCCCCAGATGATGACAATGGGGAGGGATCGTCTGTGTCCCCAAAACTATCCCACCATCTCACCTGAGGAAGGTGGAGTCCACAGCCTGCAATCGGAGCACCACTGACTTGCCTATTGGCAGCCCTGCCTTCTCCTCCCTGAATCAGGTGGAGTGGAGGTGAGGCCTGCATTGAACCAGCGAGCAGGGCTGAGAAAGAAAGAGGCCTGTGCATCCACCTTCGGCTGATGGGTTAGAGGTCCTCCATAGGAGCACAGCATTTCACCAACCAAGAAAGCAAAGCCCCGTGAACCCTGACTGGCATAGAAACACCCGTACCCAAGTGTGGCACACAGATCTGCAGAGACACGGCAGAAACACAGGTCACCTATGTGGATGTGCTGACATAATCCAAATCCCTTTAAGCACGAGACACCCAAACAAAAACACAGACACATGTTTTTCTCTTAAATGTGAAATCTCACATGAGATCAATAGGATCTGACTATGTCTAGACCAGAGGAGAAACGTGCAGACTCCAGGGCACAGGGGGAGGGGCAAGCAAACCCTCAGAAAGTCACGTAGGTTCTCAGAAACAAGCCTGGGCATGCACAGATCCGCATACCACAGGGACGCAGCAGGTGGATGCAAATGCTCGTGGGTGGAGCCTGCAGCCGCCCCCAGGCACGCTCCTAGTTGGTGAAATGCTGTGGTCCCAGAGAGGGCCTCTTCCTCTGCCCACCTCACTCCAGTGGTCCGGGCCCATAAACCAGAGCACAGGACAAAACAGCCACCTACTCCATCCAGCCCTGACAGGGGGAAGGGAATATGCCTCAGTGCTGTTCTGCCTCTGGAGTCCTTGTCCCCCTCTCTCTCCCCATCTCTTTAGCTCTGCCCTGATTCCTTCTCCAAACCCAGTGTAGTGGTCTGCCCCCAAAGATATCTGGATCCTAATCCTTGGAACCTAAGAACAGTACCTTATTTGGAAAAAGGGCCTGAGCAGATGTGAGTACAGGAAGTATTTTGAGATGGGGAGATTACCTTGGATTACCCAGGTGGGCCCTAAATGTAATCATAAGTGTCCCTATTAAGAGGGAGGTCAAGGGGAATTTGACTGCAAACAAGAGAGGAAGCCATGTGAGGACCTTGGTAGAGAGAGAGAGATTTGGAGATGCCACCCTGCCATCTTTGAAGAAGGAAGAAAAAACCCCAAGGCAAAGATGGGGATTCTCCCCAAGAGCCTCTGGAGGAAGCACAGCCATGCTGACACTTTGATTTTAGCTAGTGAAAGTGATTTTATTTTACTTTTAAAGATTTTATTTATTTATTTGCCAGAGAAAGAGAGAGAGTGCACACAAGCAGGGGGAGAGGCAGACAGAGGGAGAAGCAGACTCCCCACTGAGCAGGGAGCCCGATGCGGGACTCGATCCCAGGCCCTGGGATCATGACCAGAGCCGAAGGCAGATGCTCAACCGACTGAGCCACCCAGGTGCCGGGAAGTGATTTTAGCTAGTAAAAGTGATTTCAGAATTTTGCCCTTCAGAACTATAAAAGAATAAATGTGTATTGTCTTAAGATGCCAGTGTGTGATAATTTATTATAGCAGCAATAGGAAACTAATAAAACCCAGTGACCCTGGGAAGAAACACAAAGCCTGTTTGTGGCCTAAGAGTTTGCTCCCGAAGAGCCGGCAGGCCCAGGTGGTGCCAGGGAGCTGCATGGCTTGGGCCAAACCAAAGAAACTGTCTCAGTTGTCCGAGGTGGAGCCCAAGCACCAGGCATGCTGGGTGCAGCTTCCCACCCCCTCAGCCAGCTAGTGGTGCCCTTCTCAGTGTGGGTCTTTCTGGCCTTGGGCAGAGCCTCCACCCTTCTTAGCCCACGCTGCAGCAAGCTGGTCTCCTCCTGGAACCTGACCCAGACCACCTTTTTTTTTTTTGAGAGGGAGATTGAACACAGAGGGGAGGGGAGAAGCAGACTCCCCGCTGAGCAAAGAGCCCAGATGCGGGACTCTATGCAGGGCTCTGTGCAGGGCTCTATGCGGGGCTCATCCCAGGAATCTGGGATCATGACCTGAGTCGAAGGCAGCCCATTAACCAACTGAGCCACCCAGGCGCCCCCTGACCCAGACTTCTAAGGCTGCAGCCTATCTGGTGGCCCTGGGTCTCAGGCCTGTCCTGCCCCCTCAGGGCTGAGGCTAGGGACTGCTCAGAGCTCCAGTGTCTTCCCACTATCCCACGCTCTCCCCCCCCGCCCCCGCCACCTGAGGGTAAGTGTGCAAGTCTCTGGGGTGGATAAGCCTGGGTTTCTTCAGAACCTCACCCCCTCTGGCCTCTGACCTTGCAAGGGGAGAAGAGGCCAGGAAGGGAGTTCAAGTGTGCAATGTTGTGTGATGCAGTTCAAGTTGTGTGATGCAGACACAGAGGGGTGGACAGGGGCTGGTCAGGCCCCACACACAGGCCCAGCCAAGCGGTGGGTATAGGCCTGGAGCCCTCAAGTCTTCTGAAATCTGGATTCCTGGCAGCATATTCTCCTCTTTGCCTCCCGTGGCCCTGCCCCCCCCCCCGATGATCCAGAGGTCATCACAGAGGAGAGACGTGGGTGAGGGACAGCACTTGGAATGGGGTCAATGTGGACGCTGCCACCCACCAGTGGGCCCATAGGGGGCTGGCACAGAGAAAGGGGACCACCTCCGGTGGCCCTCTGTGCCTGGCACAGCCTCAAGCTAGGCATGCTTCTGTCCCACCCACTGTGCACCCCCTCTTGCCCCGGCTGCAGTCTTCCAGGATCTACAGGGTCCTGATGAAGTGTGGATGACAGTACCTCAGCGCCCCCAAGCCCCTCCAGCTCCCTGGCCCTGCTGCAGGTGGCTGAACGTGGGTGTCAGTGTGCCCCATCAGTGTGCTAGGAGGTGGGGGCCGGTGAGGGCTGCTGCTGATCTAGGGCTGGGCCTAGAGTTGGGAGCCACAAGTGTTCAGGCAGAGCTGGACTCCGCTTCTGTAGCCTCCATCCCTCTCTGGGGGCCATGTCCCTGGGAGGGATGCTAATAGGAGCCTGCCCTTTGCTCTTCTCCCTCTGAGGGCCCAGGGGTCAAGGAGCAGAGTCTCACGACCTGGGGGCATGTGTTTATTTAGCAAGCAAGGAGGGGTTCCATCAGAAGGGCAACCTGGGAAGCAGCTGGTGGGCTGTGTGGTGAGAAGGATCTCCGGGCTCTCTCCTGGTGTCCAGGTTGGTGGAACAGCTGGGCGGTGCCCTGGGCAGAGGTCAGCGTGAGGGTGATGGGTGAAGAGAGACAGGGGACACCTAAAAGAGAGTCAGAGGAATAAAGATGGTGGCAGTGCTGGGCAGGGGGGACAAAGGCAGGCCCGGGACCCCCTCCCACTGCCCTCTAGCTCCCATCGGCCCCTTCCTGGGCCATACTCACCGCATGCTCGTTCACTTATCATCGATGCACTGGTCTGTGGGGGACAGAGTGGTCAGCATGGGCAGGAGTGTGGGGGGGGGATCCCTGACCTCCAGGGCCCCTGTGCTGCCCCTGGGCTGCCCTGGGCCCCAGCCTGGCCCAGCCGCAGAAGATCTGGGGGTTCCCTTCAGGGATGGTGCAGCAGAGGGGTGGGTGATGGGGGCAGGGGACAGGCAGAGCTGGGTGACACCCATTCTCCAAGGGAGGCAGGTGAGGCCCAGCCACATGCCTGCTTGGGCACCAGGCCTTCTGCCTGTTTCCCTGCTGAGTCCTGACAGCCCCGGCAGCCTTGGGGAGGTAACCTGCCCAGGCCAGGCCACCTGAGCACCTCCCAAGTCAGTGGTGAGCAAGCCCCAGGGCAAAGTGGGTGCTAGCCCAGGACAAGCAGAGCTGGGTAGAGGGGAACATGGCCAGGCGACTACATGGGAAACTTGGACCCGGGCTCTCTGTCAGGGAGGAATCCTTGGGGCCCACATTGCTGGGTGCCCCGCAGACCTCTGGGTGAGTCAGGGTCTTCTTGAACCCAAAGTGGCTCCCAGGGGCTCCAGTGACTGCAGTAGGGGCCTGAGTCTCCCCTCTCCCCCTTTCCCTTGTGAGGCAACAACAGGCCTGGACAGTCCCCATGTCCCCTTCTCCTCTCCATCGCTGGCAGTTACCAGTGGGGACAGGGAAGATGATGTAATCATCGGTGAGGCCCAGGGATCTGGCAAAGCCGGTGAAGT